GGTCTCTTTCAACTCTATGATTCTATGATTCTATGATTCTATGAACTGCTCTTTAAAAAAACCCACAAGGAAAATTCATCATCCAGGACTGCCACCCACTTTATGGCTTGCTCAAATACATTAGTTGCTATGTGTCCCTGCATTTGCCTTTCTAGCAGTAACGACACAAAAATTTATGGATTACACTGGCATAGGTCTGCCTTGTTTCCCTCCCTCCAGAATTAGCAATCTAGTGCCTGTGATGGTTCGCTTGCTATTCCATTCTAGAGCACTAGAGACTTGGAATGTATTGATCTCAAGTTAACTAACTGGAGATCAGCTTGATGGACAAATGAACAGGAGAAATAACTGAGTCTCTGTGCCTATCTAACTCCTCATTGCACATGTATATTTGAAAGGTGCTGAAAATAACACATGCATTTTAGTGCTTGATGATTCAGACCTTTTCCACTTCATGAAATCCTCTGAGGATCTTAAATTTCAGGCAGGATTGTAAAGGAGGAGGGGGTCTTTCATATGTCTTGGCCACAAGTCAGTCAGGGCTTTATTCATCAAGATCAGAACCTTAGAAGGAAATTGAGCTTGGAAGGAAATTGAGAGCCAGTGCAATTCTTGTTAGACTAGTGTTATATGGTCTCTAAAATTTCCATCTGATAATTGTCTGGCCACTGCATTTAGCTTCTGATCACTTTTCAAGGACAGCCCCACACAGGATGCATTATAGTTGTCTAAACAGGAGGTAACTAAAGCAAGAACCAGTGTGATCAGATTTGCACTCCCCAGGAGAGATGGTAGCTGGTACGCCAACCCAAATTGGGCAAAGGCACTACTGTCCAGAGCAGTTGCCTGGTCCTCCAGGGCCAGTGCTTGGTCCAAGAGCACCTCTCAGTTATGAACATGATCTTTCAAAGAGTGCAATCCCATACAGAACAAGTTGTAATCCCAACTCAGGTTAGCTTTCTTACTGACCAACAGAATTTCTGTCTTGTCTGGATTGAGTCTCAGTTTATTCATTCACCTCCAGTCCTTCACTGCATTGAGAAAATGATTCTGGACTTTCACAATCTCCTTGGCATCAATTGCAAAAGAGAGATAGAACTGGTTATCATAAGTGCATAGATGACACCTGCCCCCAAAACTATGGATGACACCCCCCCAGGGGTTCAGGTAGATTTTGATAAGCATTTACCCCTATGCTTTCATCCAAGAAAGCCTGGAGTTGTTTTGCCACCAATTGCTCGAAGACCACTTTAAAAGAGATTACAATGATTTATCTTGGACAATGGGGTCCAGTGAAGGTCTCATCAACAATATTCTTACAATAGCTTCTTTCAGAGGGATTGGAATGCAGCCCTCTTTCGAAGAAGCATTTATAACCCCCCACTTTCCAATTGGCTGGCCCTCCTCTATAGAGCAGCTCAAATAAACCAAGATGGACATGGGTCTAACAGACAAGTGGCTGGCTTCACTTGTTATGTGAACCCACTAAAACCAGATACATATATGCCTCAATTACCTGTCCAAGATTCTGCTTTTAGAATGGAGTTAGAATGCATCTGGGCAATTTTCTCCACAAAAATATTTGGCCAATCTCTCACAGTGCATTTCTGGGAACTCCTCCTCAGCAGTCTGAGATCAAGAATATAATAATCCCTTCACTGCATGAAACAACTGCATTGGACAAGATTGGCCTGATGTAATAGGAACCTCAAAGATTCACTCCTGTGAAGTAGTTTCTAGCATAGTCCCTAACCTGTACTGACTCAGATTCATTCCAAGTGTTTCTCCACTGTTGCTCTATCCATCTGTCCAAATGCTCTATTGCCCTAAGAAACTCAGAAAACCAAGGAGCCCATGAACTGGATCCTAGTAAAACAACAACAACAATTAAAATAGGGAAGGGATATGCATATTTCTATTGTGACCACCCGGTCCCTACTGAACCAACTGGAGACATCTTTGGATGCCATTAAGCAGCTCGCTAGAATTGGAGTATGGCCACGGTTCTCAAAAAGTCCACAGATTTTATTAACTTTGAGTTTTGATTAAAGAGTATCAAGTGTGATGTGCCCCTGCTTTGGTGAACAAGGTTGGATACACTCCCTTCAGCAGTCTGACATGTTAATATGTCATAAATAGTTGATTCCCAGATCAATTTGATTCCTAGTTCTTGTAAGAATAAGCTTTATTTAAAATGCAATATTCAGTAAGGTAACAGGAAAATTACCTTTTTTATATGAATACTGCATTGAGATTTAAGCCATACAGCTCTGAATATGAATTTCATGCATTTACACCTAAGAACACGGCAGCATCTCTGAATCCTTTCCTAACTAGGACATAATTTACCTGCCTAACAGCCTGCAACTTAAATGCCACTCACAGAGAAAGTGAGAGCATACACATATCATTCCACCAGAGATAATAAATCCATCTATTAGCATATTATCTTCTCTACAAATTCCATCTCCATAATGTCATAACATTCTGCTTATAGTCTGGTGCCATTTGAATACAGCTTCCCCAGGCAAATCCTTTAGATGTTGTATACATGCATACACACGCATACACACACACACACACACACACACACACACACACACACACACACATATATATACACACACACACACATATATAGCAGAAGAATATGTGATGTCCCTGCCTTCTGCTATATGGAGCATTAATTCATATAATCCTTTGTGTTATATGATCATCCTACAGCTTTCAACAGTGATTGCTAAAGTGTGCCGCTAGCCGCTATCTGCACCTTGAAAATTCAATCTGCTGAATGAGTGACAGAATTTCTAGCATCATGGAAGGGAGCTATGATAGTGTTAGTCCAATGTATGCTGTTGTTACCTACTTCTTTGGTTCTTGCAGAGGTTGGAAGCTTTACTGATTGCAATACCAAAATCTGCTCCAAACCA